AAAATAGCCCAGAGTTTCGATTGTAAAGGAGAGCAGGACCCAATGAAAGCAAAAAATCCACTGATCCATGAACCCTTCCAGTCCCTCAAGAGTCCACCACAGGCAGCTCTATTATCAAGAGCTGCCCCATCAACATTCAGCTTAAGGAACCCGTGCTCTGGAGTAGTCCAAACAGAATGGATAGCATTAGAGGGCATGACAGAGACCGCAAAAATTCTAGTAGTATAATTAATACTCTTCTCCTCCATTAAAGCAGCAAGATAAGCTGAAAAGTTATCAGGTCTCTTAAAATGCTCTTCATGAAGTTCTTTGTTTCTCCATGTCCACAACGAATTGCAGGCAGTAAAAAAGTAATCCCTTCAGTCCCTAACTTTACAATTACTAAAATTCAGGTTGAGGATCATCCACTCATTAAAGGAGCTAGAGCTAAAAAAGTCAGGTGGAAGAGGATAAAATAGAGGAAGCATCCAAACCTTAACTGCTTTAGGACAGTCTCTGAATATATGAAGACAAGTCTCCACCTTATCAGGGAAAGAAGGACAGTTATTCAAAGATCCACTCCACTTAGCTATTTTCTCCTTTGTTGGCAATCTTTCATGCATTAATTTCCACATGAATAATTTCACCCTTTCTTTTCCTTTCCAACTCCAAATTCTGACCCAGCCACTATTTGGAATTATAGAATTAGTAGAAAGCCAGTTACAATAAGCAATTTTAACAATTGGCAGGCTCGGATTCCAGTTGTTCCACAACAAGAAATCTTCTTCGACATCATCATCAGGATGAGGAATTGCTAGAATGCGGTTCACCACACTACTATCAAAATGATTCAACAGATACTGAAGATTCTAGCCCTCCCCATCAACAAAATTGCTATGATTAATCTTCAGGTCGGTTTCCTCAGCAGTGGGAGAAGTTGTAGCCAAAGATAACAGGTTGGAGCTAAGCCCAGTCCAATTATCATTCCGGAATTCAATTCTCTTTCCATTTCCAATCTGCCAAGTGAGATTACTTAGCATGGTAGGGTATATCTTGCATAAGTTCTTCCAGAGATGAGAATCATATGCTTTACAAATGACCTCTTTCGAAATATTTTTATTCTTACCATACTTAGAAATCAGAACCTTTGCCCAGAGCTGAGTTGGAGATTGAATGATAGACCAAGCACACTTCTGTAAAAAAGCTTCATTTTGCTTCCTAAGGTTTATAATTCCCAATCCACCCTGGTTTTTAGGAAGCTGGAGCAGCTCCCAGTTGACAGCATGCATTCTTTTTTGAGAATCTGAGTCGCCCCAAATGAAGCTCCTTTGAAATTTTTCAATATCATCACAGATGCTTTTAGGGAGAAGACTATTTTGCATATGGAACATGGGTATGGCTGATAGAACTGATTTAGCCAGTGTGACTCTCCCAGCCGATAAACATTGCTTTTTCCAACCTTGTAAACGATTATTAACCCCTGTCCAAAATATCTCCATAGTGAAGCTTGCTAATTCTACCATGTTTCATCCTATAACCCAGGTATCTGCCAATATTTTTTGTATGGGCAAAACCACTAAACTCCACAATAGCTTTAACCACTTCATCAGGAATATTTTTAGAAAAGAAAATGTTGGATTTGGAGTAGCTAACCTTTTGACCAGACATGTTGCCAAATGTTTCAAGACAGCTCATGATAGTCCTTATCTGGTTCAAATTTGCTTCCCCAAACAGCAACAAATCATCTGCGAAGAGAAGATGAGAAATTTTGGATCCACCTTTTCCAGCTGTCATTGGCTTCTAATCTTTCCTATTTATGGAATCTGCTATGACGTGAGAGAGCTTCTCCATACAAAGGACAAAAATATAAGGGGAAATGGGATCCCCTTGTCTCAGGCCTCTACTAGGATTGAGTCTACCAGTCTTCGAGCCATTCCAAAGAATTTCTAGTTAAGTGGAATAGATGCACTGCATAATAAGGTTGATTAGAGGCTCAGGAAGATTGATCTCAGAAAGAACTCTAGGAATAAAACTCCATGACATACGATCATAGGCTTTCTCAAGGTCTATCTTGATTGTGAAGAATCCCTTTTTTCCTTTCATCCTATTCATGGAATAAACCATTTCCTGGGCAATGACAATATTATCCTGAATTTGCCTATTAGGGACAAAACTGACTTGTTGAGGAGAAATGAGCTAATTCAGGATGGGTTTGAGCTTTCCCACTATAATCTTGCTAATACCTTTATATAGCACCAAGCACAGAACAATGGGCCGGAATTGAGAGATCTTCTCAGGCTTAGCTAGCTTAGGAATTAAGACTAGAAAAGTTTTGTTTAACTCTCACAGCTACGGGATTACACCAAATCTGTCTAACATATTCAAACACTTGATTCTTCAGTAATTCCCAATTCTTTTGGAAAAAGATAAGAGGAAATCCATCAGGACCAGGAGCCTTAAGATCATTCATAGAGAAAAAGGCCTCCTTAATTTTATCATCTGATGAAGGCTCGAGCAACAAATTTAGCTCAATGTCATCAAGGGCATGCCAATTAGAGGTGGTAATAGTCTAGGGTCTGTTTTGCTCTTCCTATGAGAATAAATTGGAAAAGAATGATAGAATAAGATCAATTAGCTTGTCTTCTTCTCTCACCATGTGGCCAACTTCATTCCTTAACTCCAGAATTTTATTTCTAGCTCTCCTAATGATAGTGGTGGTATGGTAGAACCTCGTATTACGATCACCATCAGCTATCCAATTACATCTTGTCTTTTGAAACCAAAGGGCTTCTTCTTGCTCCAAAACTCTATTGAATTCACTCTGGATAGTGTTGGATGGTTTGCTGTCTCAAATCTAGGTTAATTACTAATTTTGGCCTTTGAAAAAATATTTTATTTAAAATTTTTGAAATTGTATTATAAAGTGGGATAGGATATTGTTACTACCTGTTATCAAAAAAATAAAAATAAAATAATGTTACTACCATATCTTAACCATTGATTTCCGCCAATCAACAATTGTCATTTATTGCGAACTAATAGTTAATTAATGAGTTTGATTTATGAAAATAATTACCATTGATTGACGAAAATCAACGGTTAAGTTATAGTAGTAATATTATTTGGTAATAACAATATCCCATCCCAAATAAATTTTGCTAAAGGGGATAGTCTATTTATTTTATATCCTGATGATATTTGATTCATAGCAAACACATGATAGGACAACATTATTTTATTAGATTATTAGTCTAGTGCACATCAAATACGGGATATGATATGAGCTTATCATGCCCATATCCTTTCATTTTTTTATTCAACTTTCTCATCGTATCCGTTCTTATCGTATCATATCCATCAAATGGGCTCTTATAATACTTTGTTTTACTTATTAGCTATTTATAGTATTCGCCATTAATCTTTATTTATACAAATTAAAATTGGAGTTTTTATCGTTGAACAAGTGTCAATTCGGAGTTGTCATATAGAAATCTTATGAAAGAGATATTTACAAATAATTTTGAATATAATTAGTGTGTCATTTCATTGATTCTTCATACAAATAAAATTATTTTTATTTCAGATGATCCAAATCCTTTTAGTATCATATTAGCAATATTGATTATGTGTGTTTCTCATATTAATTATATTATTGCCTATTTGAAAATTCTTATTTTTAATTTATCTTCTCTTTATAGGCAGAAATTTAGTAGGACATACTTTTACAAAAATTATTATTATAATTTTTTTTGTTATAATAAATAAAAAAAAGCAAAAGCTAAAAGCTTCAAAGAAAAGTTTTTTTTAAAGATACATATTAGTTTTTTAGAATTCTCCTATTTATTTTTCAGTTTCATCTTTATTATAAATTTGTATTTACCGATTTTATTCTTTAACCTAATAATTTATTCTAATAACAAATTATTTTATTTTTTCTCCTTCGAAATCCTCTGAACAACTTTATATAATCACCAAATAATTATTAACTTTATTTTTTAACTTTAGCTTAAAAATAATTTTTAACTTAAAAATAAGATATCCCAAATAGGCTATAGTGTGTGCGAGATTTAGTATATATTTCTTAAAGCAATAGAAACAAAAATCTTACTACGTTGTTTCTACATTTTCTCTGATCTATTTTATTATACTTTTTGAAATATTAATAATAGAGTAGGTACATGTAAATTTTCTGTTTTACGCAATTTTGATTTGATTATTGTTTACGCAACAGTTATTTCTTTTCCTTTTTTTTTTAAAGTTGTCGGCTAATACAATTTTTTTTTAATATTATTATTATATATTCTTCAAAATACATAATTATAATATTACCTTAATATTACTTTATTTGAGAGTTAAAGAGTTAAAAAGTAAAAATAATCAATAGGCCCAACCAAACAAGCAAGAAGCTCATTCAGCCCACAATTCATGTAGAAGAAAAAAAACTGTATAAACAGCCATGTAAGCTCTTTTGATTACGCCACGTCAATGAGATTTGAGGTGGCAACATCAGAGGCGTCGAGAAAACAATAGAGGAAATTTGGAGGGAGAATAAAATAAATAAAACAAAAAGAGGAAAAAGACACTGTTTCTATTCGTGTTATTATTTATTATTATTAATTATTGATATTAATTTAGGCATGCATCTGCAAATCCCAATACAAAATTCTCTCTCCCTTTCTAGCTCTCGATCTCGCGCATTCTATCCCTTAGCTATTATTGATTTCATTTAATTTCTCTCCGACTCGCGTCGAATCAATTTTGATTTTTCTGCAGGGAATTGCGTCGTCACAGTCACATAATTTTTTTGCGAGTGACGGAATCCGTGAATTCCCCGGCGAGGTAAGATTCTGTCGAAATATTGCTTTGGTCTGAGGGGGAAGGGGAAAATTTGTGGCATTAGGTTGGTTTTGCTTCGGATCTGGGATTTAGGGTTTTCTTGGTTGGTTTTCGGTAGTGGGGTGGGGGATGATTCTTTTGGGGGAGGGGTTTTGGTAGATGGAGCCGGGCATGAGATCAGGAACAGGAACTCCTTCTTCTGGGGTTGTGGTGAAGAACAGGAACTCCTCCGGTTGTTTAATTGTCCGAAAGAAAGGGGATGGATTGAGTTCAGCTACAGCTACAGCTACAGCTACTACTGCTTCTGCTACTGCTGGGGTTGGTTCCTCCACCTCTCGGAAGCTGTATGAATCCAAGAAAAGGGCCAAAATCAACTTGCCCTTGAGTGATTCTGGATCAAGCGACGAGTTGCTGATGCCTCCTGGTAGGAGGCTTGGCCCCGAGACTATCCGAGTCTGTAATGGCTTGACTGCCTTTGAGCGGGGTATGGTAGGGGGTCCTGAAATTGGTAGGAAGAGGGATAGAATGGAAAAAATTAGGGGTGATGGGGAAGGTATGATTGCGGAGAATGGTTCGGAAAAGAGGGAAAAGAAACGTAATAAGTTGAATGTGTATGATTTCAATGAATACAAGGGTAAGGATGTGGAGAAGATGAGAAGGAGGCATTTTGATAATAATGGAGTTGGTTTTGGAGGAAGGTTTATTGGATCAATGCATGCCGGTAGAAGTGGCATCGATAGGGAATTAGAAATGGGGTCAAGCAGATACATTCTTGATAAGAGAAAGAACTCCTATCATGACAGGCCAAGTGGTTTGTATCCGGGGGATAATGTTGATCACAGTAGGTTCAAGATGAACAGGGATGGAGCTCAGCTGCCTCTGACCTTGTCAAGGGAGAAGTTTAATTCAGATGAGTCTATTAGGGTTCAGGGGAAAAATGGTGTTTTGAAGGTAATGGTTAATAAGAAGAAGGTGGATAGGCCATTAGAACACTATGATCAATGCAAACCTGTGGAAAACAGGCAAAGGTTGAAAACCGAAGGGACTGCCAAGAGGAATGTCCTGATTCATCCCCCCTCGTACTTGGAAGCAAAATGTGTTGAGAAACCAGAATTACTTGTTAGGCCAGAGAAGAAACAGATAACACCAAGAAAATCATTGTCAAGTAAGGACAGTAGGGGTGATGAGTGGGATTCAGATAACAGTGATACATCATTGAAACCAGGAATGAGAAATACTGAATCTCAGAAGCCTACGAAGAGGATAATGTCTGAGGATGAACAGACTCCTATGCATGAAAAGCTCCCAACTACAAAAGCAAAAGAAGGAAAAATTAAGCGTGGTAGTGGCACAGAAAAACAGAAACTGCGAGAAAAAATAAGGGAGATGCTGCTGAATGCAGGTTGGATCATAGACTATCGACCTCGAAGGAATAGAGACTATCTGGATGCAGTTTACATTAATTCAGCAGGTACGGCCTATTGGTCTATCATCAAGGCCTATGATGCACTTCAAAAGCAATTGAATGATGATGCCAACGAGGCCAAGGCCAAAGGGGACAGTTCTTCCTTTGCTCCTATTGCAGATGAGGTGCTTAGTCAGTTAACAAGGAAAACTAAGAAGAAAATGGAGAAAGAATTGAAGAAGAAGAAGAAGAAAAGATATGATAGTGAAAGTGATAGTGAAAGAGAGCCTCACATAAGAAGATCTGCCAGCAACAAGCATGATATGAATAGCATGGATAGTGATAGCAATGAGGAGAAATTAAGCTCCTTTATAAAGCAGGGAAGTAAGTCAATGAAAAATATAATGATTGAAAATACCGTTGCCAGTGCTAGCTCTAAAAGCCAGAATGCTACCCATCACTCAAACGATGGAATAGAAAAACCATTCTCTGGAAGTGATCCTCATCTTCTACATGGACGGAAGAGTAGAAAACATGGAAGATGTACCTTGTTAGTTCGTAGTTCTAACAAGGGATTAAATTCTGAATCTGATGGCTTTGTCCCATACACAGGCAAACGGACAGTGCTTTCCTGGTTGATTGACTCTGGGACAGTAGAATTAAGCCAAAAGGTTCAATACCGTAGACGGAAGAAAGTACTGCTGGAGGGATGGATCACAAGAGATGGCATTCACTGCGGCTGCTGTAGTAAGATCCTCACAGTTTCAAAGTTTGAGCTTCATGCAGGAAGCAAATTGCTGCGTCCATATCAAAATATATATTTGGAATCTGGAGTTTCTCTTCTACAGTGCCAGATAGATGCATGGAATAGACAACAGAACTACGAGAAAATCGGTTTCCATTCAGTGGATATTGATGGTGATGATCCAAATGATGATACTTGTGGTATTTGTGGAGATGGAGGGGATTTAATCTGTTGTGATGGTTGTCCATCAACATTTCATCAGAACTGTTTGGATATACAGGTATGTGTACATATTTTATTCGCCATATGGCATATTATGGGTCTCAGCATATTGGCCGTACACATTATTGCTCTCTGTATGGTTTTGCATTGTTCTTGTTGAGCAGTAGCATATTAAATATGTTTCCTTTTCAAATGCTGTTTGGTTTTACATTGTCTCTTGTTGAACAGTTGCATATTGAATTTATGTTTCCCTTTCAAATACTGTTTGGTTTGTTTATTTTTTGTTTGAGGTGGTGAAAGAGGTGCTGTAATATCCTTTTATTAGGAGCTTTGTTATTTTGAAGTCAAGAGGGCTGGAGAAAACCCTACATTCTTGTTATTATGCTTTTTGCCAAATGTCTTTAGTGGTATGGTGAAAAATGGTATTCTGAGACAAAACTTGTGTCTACTGACAATGTAGTAGGTCATGTCCATTTTCAAGAAAAGTGCAGTGAAAAAAAGAAGTACTTACCTATAATAGTTTTTAGGGTTTAATATCTCTCATGTTGTGGGAGATAAAGATATAATCATCTCCTACATGCACATAAAAGTGTGTGGAATCCATGTTATTATTTTTTTTTCTCTTCTCTTCACATGGGTCCCACACACTTTTGTATGTATGTAGGAGATAATTTTATCTTTATCTCCTAGAACATGAGAAAAATCAAACCCTAGTTTTTATGCCTAAATCTTATGCCTGCTGATAGTAATTTAACTTGTGACTTACTAACTTCTTTTATATTAAGAAGACTATGTTGTATGGGTTTTCTTATATACAGAGTCCGGTGTTCCCGTACTAAAAAACTAGAATAATCTGTTATCCACATTTTGATAGTGGTGCTATTTACTTGTTGCAATTGCATACTGTACCTTACTTTAGCAACAGAATGGATTTATTAATTATTCTAGGAGAATGGTTTCCTTTATGTGGAACTCATTTATTTTGTTACAGATGCTTCCTCCTGGTGAATGGCGTTGTCCAAATTGTACCTGTAAGTTTTGTGGAATAGCCGGTGAAACTTCTAAAAAAGATGATGCAACTGTGTATGTCCTACATACTTGCAACTTATGCGAGAAAAAATGTATTCACTTTCTCTTGTTTATATTTGATGTTCTTTCAATGTGTTCTTATTGTTTTAGCCCTTACTTTCCTCCTTTTTTTTTCTCTTTGTTTAATAAACGCTTTCTGTTTGCGTAGATCATGACTCTTGCACTAAGGAGGTGGATGCCCTTCCTAATAGCTTCAATACATCAGGCCCTTCTTTTTGTGGGAAAGAGTGCAAAGAGGTACCTCTTACAGTTACTTCTGGTGTTCAATGTTTCGTAGTATAGCCTGACAAATTTAAATATATTTATTTAATCATTTTCCATTTATCTATTTTCTTACAAATCACTTATGCTTGTTCACTAATTTATAGACCTTCTGGTTTAAGACTCTTAGAATTATTTTTCTGGGAATTTTAATGTTTGTTAAAATTAAAAATGACAAAAAGAAGTGAACTTTTGTAGCACCGCTGGTCCGCTGCTCTAAGGCCAGATTCTGAATTATGTTGTTTTTGCATTTCTGAATTATCTTCTTTATACTTTTACAGCTTTTTGAGCAATTGAAGAAGTACCTTGGTACCAAGCATGAACTAGAAGCGGGCTTTTCATGGTCTCTTGTTCATAGAACAGATGAAGACTCAGAGGCAGCTAGTAGGGGAATTACCCAGAGGGTGGAATGCAATTCCAAGCTAGCTATTGCACTGACTGTGATGGACGAATGCTTTTTACCTGTTGTTGATCGGAGGAGTGGGATCAATTTAATCCGTAATGTTTTATATAATAGTGGGTAAGCACTAGTAAGAACATCATGGACGGACCATATATTTTATTCATTAGACCTCTCATTTTTAATTATGATGGAAATGCTTATGTCTGATTCTTTATGTTACATTTTTCAGCATTTGTAAAACTGCAAATTGATAAATGTCTTCCTTTTTATTGTTTCACCTGTTAATGTTATCCGACTCAATAAATAATGTCGACTGTTTGTTAATATAAGTAGGCAGAAAAGGGATTGATTAGTTTGTAAGAATCATTTTACTGAGAGTGGTTTGAGTCACTTGGAAATTTGAAATTGCTTATAGAATGTTCCATGGTGAACTTCAGCATTGTGCTCAAAGTACCATTAAAATCAAAATTTTAAAGTATACTCTTTCTGGATATTATTGTTTTATGTGAGATACTTTCAAGCCTTGACAGTTTTTCTATTATATATATTTATTTTTATTTTTTTGCTTTCTCTTCTTTTTCAGGTCAAACTTCAGTCGGTTGAATTATAGTGGCTTTTACACTGTTATTCTGGAGCGAGGGGATGAAATCATTTCTGCAGCATCTATCAGGTACTAAGCCTCAGACTTTGTCAATTTCTTTTTTTGGGAAACTTTATATTGCCATACTAACTCATGCACAGGATCTCTGTCCTTTTCTTTTGAAGAGAAAAAATGCAGAAATAGTTGAAGTTGGGGATTAAAAGGTTTTTCTGTTGCAATTGGGTTGATAGTTCATTCACTACCAGATTTACCTTGGAGAAGTTAGGAGAATTAAGGAAAATTTTTATAGAATAACTGACACTTGACAAGAAATATAAAAAATGATTAATTGTAGTTATTTAGGGTGTGCATGACAACCGTTATGAAAAGAAACAATTCTTTTTTATTTCTGTGCCTTCAAACAGTTTTTGAGAAAAAAAAAAGTGTTTGATAATATCTTCTAATTTTATTCCGAAAATGAGAATTGCGTTTGATAACACAACAAATAATAGAATAAAAAATCATTCCTATTAAGCATAAATTTTTTCCGGATCATCACTTTCCTTTTCATATGGTGCGGTGGCGGTAGTGGCGGCGGTGGCGGTAATGGTGGCGATGGTTGTCTTGCACACCCTTAGAGAATCTGTTCTACTCATGCAAAGGGAATGAAATTCTTATTGGGAAAAAATTCATCTGCCATGCTTCACTTGCTTAAGAGAGAGTTTCTCCTTTCCAAATGATTACTCTGTTTAATTTGCTCTATCATCTATCACACACTCCAGTTGCTACTTTAACCTTATATTTGTGCCTCATTTGTCGGTTAGAATGAGTTAGAAATTGCCAAATTGGCAGTGAGGAGAAAGGCTTCATAGGTTTTGCAATGCACTAACCTTTCACTCCCTTCTTAAGAAATGCCTTGATATTACTTGATACTTGAAATGAGGAAGCAAGAGTGACATTGTATAGCCACTTAGCTCTGGTTCCCTACTTTCTTGAAGATACCTTTCACTAACCTTATAGTTTTACTGATGATTATTCTCTCTCTCTCTCTCTCTCTCTGTGTCATAATCAATATGTATGCTACATTGTGTTTTTCTTGTTAATGTGAATAAATGGGGATATACTTGTAAGCTATCTACTATGCTGTCTTAGGTTCCATGGAACTAAGTTAGCAGAGATGCCATTTATCGGAACTCGCCATATATATAGGCGCCAGGGGATGTTTCGCCGTCTTTTTTCTGCCATTGAATCGGTATACCTTGAAGCTATGATTCTTTGTGTTTTTCCTTGCATCTGATATCTAATTAAAATTTTGGCTGCATGGATCTTTTCATGACATTGACGTGTTCTTATCCTATTTGTTCGTCCTCTATTGGAAGGCTCTTTGCACTCTGAAGGTTGAGAAACTGGTTATTCCTGCAATTGCTGAACTCATGCATACATGGACAGCAGTTTTTGGCTTCACACATCTTGAGGAATCACTCAGGCAAGAAATGAGGTCATTGAATATGTCGGTTTTCCCTGGTATAGATATGTTGCAGAAGCTGTTTGGGGAGCAAGGAAAACATGTGTGCAATACAACCACAGCAGGTATTGATGCTTTATTTATTTATTTTTTATTTAAATTTCAGCAAGTTAGTTTTGCTTGTACATAAGTTTCACTTTTTTATTCCGGCAGGTTTTACAAAAATGGGAAATGGAGACAATGTTTTTATTGAGACCAAAATGGCGAATAGGTCACAGATGGATTCCTCAACTCTGCTAGATCCTCATGGAAGTGATGATGCTAGTTCAAATCCTGCCAATGAGATGAATGAAGATTGTAGTGATGCTTCTCAAGAACTAAACAATCACGTTTTGGTTGACAGGACAGTGTGTTCTAAATCTCATCCTGAGGAAAGGTTATCTGATTCAGTTTCAGATAAATGTGTTTCTCCTTCTAGTCATGGTACCCCAGAAATGAACAATAAAATAGTAATGGCTCCTCCTGTTGATAAACTGAATATTTCTTCGTCCAAATGTCAATCCATATCACCGAATGTCACTTCTGTGAGTAGTCACCCATTAAATATTCCTGATTGCCATGAAATTCAAGCTTTGGTTCTGGAAACTGCTTGTTATGGCCCTTGTTCAGCAGAAAACCTTGACAGGAAATGTCACTCGTTCTCTGCTATGAATTGTGATCCATCGGAGCTTGACAATAATCCAGTATTGCATTCTCCACTGGCAGACAATACTCCGTCTTCTGAAGAGGTTTATGTGAATGATGCATATGAGGCTCTTGAAGCTGTTCCGTCAGGGAGTTTATCTGAAGAGAATATTACCAAGGAAAATAATCAAAATGTAGATGTCTCTGATTCTGTTCTCAATCATGCTGATGAGAGTTTGTTGCAAGTAAGATCTGATTCCAATGGGGAAATCGGCCATCAGAGTGAAAAATTTTTACATTTGAACATAGGAGTTGCTTCAAATGAAATGTATTTTGATGAAAGTGGCCTAAATGCTTCCGGTGATAGTTCTGAGACTGATCCAATCTAACAGAATGGCCCAGTCGTGTACTGCTGATGTGTTTAGTGCTTTACTGCTCATGATACTTTCGTAAGTTTTCTTTTCAGAGCTTCAATGCCTTGTATGCAAATCAATTTTCAAGGCTTTGGAGCTTATGCTTCATGCTTTGATCTGGACAGTATGAATAAATTCTGTTGATTTCAAAAGAAATATTGTTTGGTCCCTTGTCATCCACAACTATGAATTTCTTAAGGTTCTGAGCAAGTTAATTTCATTTTTTGTGAAAGTTTCTTCTGTCAAAAAGATTCATCTGCGTCTGGCTGTATAACCCTGAGTTACATAATAGGTGAAGTTACTGGCACTGGCAAGTAATATGCAACAGTTCTTCAACACTCAACAGAAGCAAATCCTTTTTAGTTACGTAATATGATTGTGCGGTATATACTATAAATATGAATCTGGCAGAGCGGATTTGGTTTCTGCTTAATCCTTTTGTGCCACTCAATGACTGCGGTAATTAATTACATGACATCAGCAGTTTACTTTGAGGTAGTGTTTGGTTCGGGAGAATTTTTTTTTTACTAGAGAAATGTAATTGATAGGGAAATGGTTGGAAAATGAGTTTGGTAGGAAAATGTAAAAAAAGTTGTTTGGTTGACCCAAATATTACCAGGGAAATTTATTTAAATATGCAAAATCTATGTTCGGGAGAAACTTTGCACCTGTTTTTTCACTTTCCCAGTCATCTCAAAATACCACATCTCAAGTGGTATTCTGTAACAGTGAATTTTATCCAAAAATTAACACAAAAGTCATTTTTCCATCTATCCTATTTGTCTGGTATTTCTTGAAAAAACCTGAACCAAACGTGGTATTTTTCAATATCCACTTACATTTTCCCATCAATCCCAAAATAAAACTTCAACCACACTGAGTAATTTTTTTGCTTAGAATGGCAGCATATGTTTCATCTGACTTGTCTACATTTTATGAGCAATTGATGGAAGCAAGAAATTATGTTTTTTTTTTTCTTCCAATCTGCTCTCCTTCTACCTAGATTGTGATCCGTTTCTGCCCAAGTGCCTCGATACAGAAATTTGGTAATAATGTTCTATTTTGGGGGCGCTTTTGCTTTCACTAGAGAACTCGAAAGGTTTGTCTGCTTATCAAGATTGAAGGCATTTGAATATTGATTTTCTTATATAGATCGGGAACCTGATCTCTCGGTGAACTGTGCGTTAAATGACAGTCGTGCTTATAGGTTGTTGAGTGTTACAAGTTCCATTGTCTGGTGGGATTTATAAGAATCTGAATATTTTTGGGATGGACTGCAGTCTGCTAGAGCCTAGAAGTATAGTAAAATTTTTTTCACTAAATTTACAAGGTAATTTTGGCATTTTATGAATTTTTTTATTTAAAAAAAACCTCTTCTTGGATTGGCTAGTTTATTATATTTTTCCAACAAAAATAAAATAAAAAAGCTCAAAATTATGCTAAATGGGTTTTAACGAAAAAACGGTGGTTCGAAAACATTTAAAAGTTAGTCAAGTTTGAAAATAACAAATAGCCATTTTTATTATTTTATTTTCAATTTAAAAAAAAAATTAAGTATTACAACTGAGATGATAGCTTTGTAATTATGATAAAAACTATATCAACTAAATAAGTTTCTAAAATTTAAAAATAAAAAATAGAAAACAAAATATTTTTTCAAATCAAATACACTTGACTATTTAGTATTCCAAATTAAAAATGATTCATTTTAATTTCAGAAAGAAGAATCTCTTTTCTCACTTCAAATTTTTTATGTAGCGATTTCTGTTAGGGCAGGGACTAAGCCAATCCAAATCAAATATCTCAAATTCGACAATGAAATATGAAAAACTGAAAGTAGGAGTGGATTGAAGGGGTGAAAGCTTCAAAAAATAGTGATAATTGTACGGGCACAAACACGAGTAAAAGCTTAAAAAAAGGGAACAGCGCCACACAACCCCTTCCTAGTTCCTACGAAATAGATTTCAGAATGCTTTAAATCTATTCATTTTTGAACCAAAGGGTCGGGTCTCCAAATATGTCGGACTTGAGTGTCACTTGATCTTCAATTTAGAAGTTTAGCTAGCTGCTCTGCGAGTGAGTGCACACCAGCTGTTCGGTGTTTTGCTTCAGTGAGCATTCTTCATATATATATATATATATATATATATATTTTTTTTTTTTTTGTAGTACAAAGCATTCTTCATATTTTGAGCTGCATAATTATCTTGAAAACGTGGGCATCTACTTCTTGTTATTGCTTCTCCTTTCAAAACTGTGATCATGGTGTCCGTACTCTCAAGGAAAGGTGCGTCTGTATACAACCAACATTTTCTCTTGAGGACATTCAATCTCTGCTTCAAGTCCCTCGCCACTATTCCCAATAAGGACGATGGTGCTGCAGCTCATTCTCTATCTGTGCCAACTTCTGAGCATTCTAGTAGCCTTCATCTTTCCCCATTTTTCTCCGACTTCAATCATCCTTCAAGTGGATTTGACATCGAGCTTGTGGATCATGATACTTGGGGGGTATCAACTGGGGTGGCACAAGCCTGGCGAGGACGGGATTGGGTTGCATCAGGAGCTAGTTCTTTTGGTCAGCAAGTGACTGATGAAGCCCGTGATGGTCATTCTTCGAATGTTGAGGGTGAAATAGATTTTGAGGACATAGATAATATGAGAATTCGTGGCAGTCTGTTCTATAAGCTTGAGCGTAGTTCCAAGGAGTTTGAAGAGTATAATTTAGAATTTCACCGAAAGAAATCTTCCAAGAAAAAAGACGACAAGACTGAGGAGGTAAACAAAGCTAAAACAACTGCAAAAGTAACTTCCAAAGACCAGAAGCTTCTCAAAGTTGATGAATTCACAAGAAGTAAAAGTGTTATTCCCCGGATGGATGAAATCAATAATATGCCTCCTTTGAACAAGAGGCAGAGGACCCCCACTTTTAACCAGCTTACAGGTCCTTACCATGAACCATTTTGCTTGGACATTTACATATCAAAAGCCTCCGTTCGTGCTTGCATTGTTCATAGGGTAACTAGCAAGGTTGTTGCTGTGGCACATTCCATTTCCAAGGATATCAAGTTTGATCTGGCTTCTACCAAGAATAAAACCACTTGTGCTGCTGTGGGGGCAATTCTGGCTCAGAGAGCATTGGCTGATGATATTCATGACGTGATTTACACTCCAAGAAAAGGAGAAAGGATTGAGGGGAAACTTCAGATTGTTCTTCAGTCTATCATTGATAATGGCATTAAAGTAAAGGTAAAAATCAAGCAAAGACCCAAGAAGTCATTCAGCCACATCTGACATAGGGGCATGCTTGTTCAGTTGGCATTGTCTATTGGCCAATGAAATTATCTGTTTACATTTTTCACACATGGAAGGGGGTTTGGATCCTCTCATTTAAGGGTAGCCTGGGTAGGATTTTAAACATTTGGCGACTGTGCGTGAACTTGTACCATTTTGGATTCCATCCTTGTAATATGTGAATAAGGTTTAATATTAACTAAAATTACATATGATGTCTTTGTATCCACATTTAGTTCATTATGCTAGGTAACCATTACATCAACAGTTGTTGGGCAATTGCCATCTATTCTGATTTGAGTCGTATGTTCAATTTCATGCATGCATCAATAAAAAGCCAGATAATTGAAGTATATATTAAACCAGAGCAGAGCAACAGCAGCAATTATAAGAAAACAAGCAAAGACTCAATGCCATTCACCAAAACCAAAAAAACAGCATAGGAATTACATTGCAAACTCAAAAATAGATCAGTCATTGGCTGTAGCTAATTGCAATGACAGAAGCTCATCCTCTGGGATAGTCCTAACATGACAATCCGATCGAGGATATGAGGAACACAAGAGTGCATAGCCACGATCCACCACATCATCGCTGAGCATTCCATCGCTCTGGTCAACAGACCCACTTAGAAGATGAGCAGGGCAAGTCATGCAAACTCCAAGCTTGCAGTCATGAGGCACAGACAAGCCAGATTCCAATGCCTTTGATAGTATGGTCTCGTCAGGTTCAACTTCCAGCTGCGTGGACTGGCCCTCGTGCTCAATCACCACTTTATACGACCTCACTATGAGTGATGATGAGCGTGAACCAAGGCGTGCCCGAGTGTTGAACTGAGAAGGAGAAGCAGAGGAGACTTTGGTGATGGGGTGGTGCTTTTGTTTAAAAAGAGTGAAGGTTGTGAATTGAAGAGTTGCCATGTTTTGTTTTGTGTTTGGAGTTTTGTTCTAAGGGAAGTGTTTCTTTCTAAGATGGGGCAAGGCTTGTGGTGGTTGAAAGGATAAGGCTTGTGGTGGCGAGGTCTTTTAACTTTTTTCACGCATCTTGCAGCAACAGGCACATCTTTCAAGGGTTATTTTCTTAACGAGTTGAATTTTTGTAAGAATCGAATTAAAAACCTCTTCCTTATGCAAATTATTTTCTTACAAATTGAATTTTTCTTATGTTTTTATATGACTTTGTGTTACCCCAAAAACAATAACTAGGATGTCCCAAAAACCAAAATTTTCTTCAATTTTTTGTTTTCCCGGTTTAGAAGGTGCAAAATTGGGAGTAAGAAAATTTCGTTTCTTTTGGAAATAAATCCAATTATAAAGTTATTTTGGTTTTATCAAAGTGGAAACCAATCAGTTCATGAATTATTTGTAATTATTTAAAAAAATTAAGCTTTTGAGACAAATCATTTAAAGGATATAGAGTTGTCTTCTTTTAAGTGAAAAAAATAATAATTATCCTTTAAAAGAATAGATATCTTTTTCATATTTTTTATTTGTATGGAAGTTCGAGAATTCTATTTAACTGAATTAAAAAAGTGAATTGCCCAGAATATTACATAAACATTTTCGATGTTTTAACAAAGGGAATATCATTTCTGCTCGTGGCAGAAAAAAAAATTCTATCAAAGAGAGTAAATCAAAGAGAAAGAAATCCATGAGAAGACATAAACTGAGTAAATGATGGATTTACTCTAATTTTATTCTCTGTGGCAATTTTTTTTTTTTCTGCCATAGATATATAAATGATATTACCTTTAACAAATTATGATAGTTCAATTACGTCAAGAAAATAAACAGATGGGATACTTAACGATATAGTAATGTTATGATATATAATTAAAAAAAGTTTATTGATTTTTGATTTGATAAATGAGTTTTATTTTTCTTATGTTGCATAAGATAAGTTGTCTCGTGTACCACAAAAAAAATAAATAAAACCACTAAAAAGGAAGAGAAAGAAAATAAAAAAGTGAGTCTCATCTACTTTTTGTGTATAGCATGAGAACTTGTATCATGCAACATAATTAAAATAAAACTCTTGATAAATATCATCGAATGTGAAAGTATGTATTAGTTCCTCCATAGTAACATATTTGGAGAGTTTAAAGTTTTTATCTCATTATCCACCTGGGATTAGAGCATGTTCAATCTTCTCCGATAACATATTTGAGTGGATTTAAATTTTTTATTCAAAATCCGCCACGAATCGGATTGTTGGGCAAACATAAATCGATTGGAATATTAAAAAAATAAAACTTTTTCAGCGTTTTCTTTACAATATATAAGACTGTGAGGGGGTGCTAAAGAAAATTGATTATCGTCATTTTCTTCGTAGATCGTCGTTATCAGCTGTGCTTGTCTCAGTGGCTACTTAATATCGTCATTCCTGAAGGTCCCTTTTTTCTGATTCTCTCTAATCCTCCAATACATTAATTAAGCTCTTTGATTGTTGATTACACTTCTGAATTAGCGTTTATTTGCCACTAATGAATCCTAATCCATCAATATCAGTACTTGTCACTTGTCAAGTTCCTTATTTTTGTTTTCCTACTTTCTTTTTGGATCGCGGTTTTCTGTGCTGAAACGGCGACGTTCGAACTAGGAGCAATGTAAATCCCCCGATTTAGGTTATTGTTATTACTTATTGGTGAGATGATTAAATGTAATCAGAATGTCTTTTGCACATTTTTGTTTTATGGTTCTTTATGTAATCGATTTGGGTACTGATATTTCGTGCAAAAAGTTGTAGATTTTTTCGTTTTTGTGATCCTCCTAACTCTTTGGTTCTGATAAAGGTGATGACAAGAAAATATTGAGATATAGCATTTGTTTTTAGCTGAACAAGATTTGAATTTTTATGTTTTGTGTTCTGATGAGCTTTTATGTTCTTCATGTTGAGAAATGTTTCACATTCCTTTGGTAGTATAGATAGAGAACTAGTGGCTTTGTGAATAATGGAATTTCTGGGTGCTATGCTAATAGTTTGTCTGTCTTTCTTTGTCAGCTTTTTAGTCAGCTGATATTATGGCGGTCGAAAAGTCTGGAATCGCCAAAGATATTACAGAAGTAAGTCTGTGCACCTTGATGTCCGTTTCTGTATGGTTTTTTCGTACTGGGTTTTGCTCCTATTGATAGCGTTTCTTGCTACTTTACACGCTGCTGTCCGATGTTTATTTTGTGTAGTTGATTGGCAAAACGCCATTAGTATATCTAAATAAACTTGTGGATGGCTGTGTTGCCCGAGTCGCCGCCAAATTGGAATTAATGGAGCCATGCTCTAGTGTAAAAGACAGGTAAATAGTTGTTCCATTGTTATGAGTCTTGATTCTCTGTAATTTTTATTTATGCTTTTGGTAGCATTATTTTTGGCATGGGTTTTTTTAAGATTTTGTGCTCGTTCTTTTGTTCTTATGATATATGTTGGACACGCAGGATTGGCTATAGTATGATTGCTGATGCAGAAGAGAAGGGACTTATCACACCTGGAAAGGTTGGTATACCTTGATTATTAAAGAAAAGTGAAGCAAGTAATAGATAAGTAAAGGTGTCTTCGCTCGAACAGTATGGTTTGGGTCAGTAATCCTGCCCACGGCCGACGTCCTATTATCTCGGCACAATAATCTTACTCCTTAAAATTTCTGGATTAACCTTATCAACAGACCTTATTTTACATGCATTGTGTAGACTCTTTCTTAAGGGAACTATTACTGTATTCTGATGCTATCCATTAACAAGGATATTCCTCATCAAATACTTTTACCCCTTCTATAAATACATGGCTAGTCCTCTATGTATGACATTGACCTTATGATATTTGATCATAATCCCTCCATTCTCTTGCGCTCTTCCTAACTTGAGTGTTAGTTTGTTGCAAGCACACCAACCCCTGTGCCCAACTGCATCAATCAACACGGGCAAAGAAATCCCTAAGCACGTACCAGTTAGAGAATCATCACCAACCCTTTGTTTAGCCCGGTACCTCGGACTGAACAGTTGCCATTTTTAACTCATTCTATGTGTGTGTGAATCACGATGCTCCTAAACTTCCAAGTATGAAGGAGATAGACAAAAGTCGTGAGTTAACTTATTCCGCACAATGGATATGTACGATAACTAACTGTACAATATTTGTCTTCAAGAGAACACAACTTTGGCTGGATTATCCTGTGTCATGAAGGTTATATCATATTCCTATATATGGAAAGTCAAACCCAAATTTATACGAAATGTGAAATTTTTCCATTACAAATGAAATTTATGCTACTCTTATAGCAGTTATTTTAGATCTGAATGAATACTCTGTTAATTGGTTTTTGTTACAACTTATATTTATAATACTAGGAAGTGGTAAGGTGAAAAAAAGGAATTTTGGGTATTAATTTAGCTTATGTTCAGAGTTGACAATTATTACATTTTCTGAATGTGAGTTTCTTATTTTACTGAAGAGTGTCCTTATTGAACCAACAAGTGGTAATACTGGCATTGGATTAGCCTTCATGGCAGCAGCCAAGGGTTACAAGCTCATAATTACAATGCCTGCTTCAATGAGTCTCGAAAGAAGAATTATTCTATTAGCTTTTGGAGCTGAGTTGGTTTTGACAGACCCTGCAAAGGGAATGAAAGGAGCTGTTCAGAAAGCAGAAGAGATATTGGCTAAGACACCCAATGCCTACATCCTTCAGCAATTTGAAAACCCTGCCAATCCCAAGGTATATAAGCACATTTGTTCTGTAAAATGGTGCAATAGACTCCTGACACTTTGTGCAATGTATATTGTTATAATTGCAGATACATTATGAAACCACTGGTCCAGAGATATGGAAAGGCTCTGAAGGGAAAGTTGATGCACTTGTTTCTGGGATAGGTACTGGTGGTACCATAACAGGTGCAGGTAAATATCTTAAAGAGCAGAATTCCAACATAAAGGTTAGTTTTTTCCCCGCTTAATATATGTTTAGATATATTTAGGGATACTTGAACAGGATATTTCATGGAAATGGAAATAACTTATCTCTATAGCTATGTCATTCTTTTTTCATGTTTTCAACGTCTCTTCTCTTTTATGTAGCTGTTTGGTGTGGAACCAGTTGAAAGTCCAGTGCTCTCAGGCGGAAAGCCTGGTGAGTTATAACCTCTTCTGTAATATTGTAGTTTTTTGGATATTTTTCGTAAGAACCATAATTTTCTTGCATTGCAAGTTGATATTTATTAAATTTCTATTAATTTGTTTCTTGTTGTTTGAGAGCATTGTGGATCAAATGCAAAGAGTCTGATTAAAATGGGTAGAAGAGGACTTAATAAAACTTTAGGAGAAACCATTTAAAAAAACTTGCTCTTCCTGGTTTTACCTTTTTCTTTCTCACCATTCTCTTCCCGCTTTTACTAAAATTTTGGTTTTTGATAGAAACTAATAATTGGTAATGTGGCTGACCCCACTCAATGGGATAAGGTGTGGTGGTACTTCTTTACTTTGCCATGTTAAAGCTATTGGCTGGCATTTAAGAGTTGACTGCGTTGGAGGTATTATTGAATAATACCCCCATCCCACGTCTCTCTTACCATCCAGGAAGGACTGTGTTTTATTTATTCTGTCTGCCCATATTATTGAAAGTAGATTATCACTAAGTTTTCTTTATAACACAGCATTCATTGTAGCACTCCTTTTTATGTATTTTTCTTGACACCATTTCATGGTCGCTTGTCTAGATTGCTCCGTGGACTAATTACATGCTAAGCATGTAAAGTTCCTGTCACTGGTTATGCTGTCTTTTCTTCAGCTTAAATTTATCCCTTTAGAGTTTATGCTCTAAATCAGTTCCTATTTGTTTTTTCTTGTTTGTTTTGTTCTCCTGTGGCTGTAACTACTATAGTTTTACACTTTTTATTTATAAGAAAACCTTAGGGTTGAGGTAAAGAACTTTATTTTCTAGTTGTGGCTAATTTACAAATTGCCATTGTAAATGTTCAGGTCCACACAAGATTCAAGGGATTGGTGCTGGTTTTGTCCCTGGTGTCTTGGAAGTCAATCTTGTTGATGAAGTCGTTCAAGTAAGCTTAAACAACTTGTGGATAATTGTTACATTTTTCAAAAGATCACCTATTCATATTTCCAGGAATATTATGATTTATATTTTTTTTTAAAGTTGTTTGGAAATGCTATGTACAGTTTTGGAAAATGGGATAATTCGTGTGTTTATAGTTATTGGCTTATGGCATCTTATTGTTGATAAGTTCTTGACATTCTTACACGTTCAATTCTTAGATATGAATTTGATGTAGCAGTTTTCCTTTTTATTAATTTGATGATATTGATTCAATGTTTACTTTGACTTAATCGAAGCAGACTTTTGCTGCTTATTGATCATTTCCAGCTTGAGAAGCTTTTCTATTAATTTCTGATATAAACTTGTCCTAAAGTACTTGGGTTCTCCTCTTCCTTGGGCAAGTTCTGAGTAGGGACAAAATTCCAGTTTGAGGGTAAACCACAATGGTAATCGTGGATAACTTTGAAGATTAGGAGCTGATTTTATGGCTACAAATATAAATATGGACACATTATGATTTGATATATAAAAATATTTTTGATATACATCCACTTCTAATCTGTCATAATTGAATTTTGTATTCAATGCACTTTTGAATTAGTCTAAAATAATTTTAAATTCTGAAAAATAAAATTGTGATTGATGTGTAGTATTAGAAAGATTTTGAATATCTCATCATTTTGCAGTATTTGTTTTGAATATCTCATCATTAAACCTTTGATATGTGTGATTTGGCAGATATCAAGTGACGAAGCGATTGAAACTGCGAAACTTCTTGCCCTCAAAGAAGGCCTATTTGTAAGTTCTAAACCTATAGAAATAGCCAAGAGTGAGCTTGATGCTGCCTTTAATATCTATTTTGTTGAGCCTCTTTTGTAATTGATATTTGGATGAGGAAAAAACTAAAAGCTGGTTATACCATTTTCTCTGTTCTAATTTTGAAGTTCATTGAACTTCGTACTCTGGATATTGTTGTAGGTGGGAATATCTTCTGGAGCTGCAGCTGCTGCCGCCATTAAGATAGCAAAAAGACCAGAAAATGCTGGAAAGCTTATTATTGTAAGTTTACTGTATCCCTAAAATTTCGGTGAAAGTATTAGATGTGTGTTGAGAAAAGTGACAGAATTGCTAGTATAATCTTCATGCATGATATTCAACAAAAGAACAGGTGATCTGTTGGACCACAATGACAACATGATATTATGGATGGGAAAAGCTTACCTCCGATTTTGATTTTTTATTTTTTCAAAATATGAAAATTTGGTTAAGGAGATGCTTTAATTTTTTCAAATTTTAATTTAAGATAGACAACTGGATATATTGATGATTACATTCTCCCATATTATTGGTTCTGTTACTCATACCAACACCATTAACATGTGATAATATCGAAATGCTGTAGGTAGTATAATCCAATGGAATTATTTAGAATTTTACTGATGGGACGAGCTCATGTTAGACGTTTAGATCTTTTATTTTTAAAATTAATCTGAAAAAGATTTGTTAAGGATTATGAAGGTTATTATTATTGTTGAGATATATAAAACCATTAATGTAGTCTTACCCAACAGCTTACACTTTTGGGTTGAATTTGTTCTTTATATGATATCAGAGTCTCGGTGTACCGGATTCGATCCTCATCGCCCCCACTTTCTTTCTAGTGGAATTTCTTTCTTTGCACAGGTAGGTGGGCCTGTGCATCGTCCACCCTTCAAGCCCAGCGTGCTCTCGTGTGAGGGGGCGTGTTGAGATATATAAAACCATTAATGTAGCTTCACTTAACAGCTTAATCTTTTGGGTTAAATTAGTGCTTTACAATTATTAATTGGTTCTTTATAATTATTTTGGATGATAAAGACAACTAGAAATGTTGATGGTTGCATATTTCCACATTATTGGTTGTCTCTTCCAATAGCATGAGGTATGCTAAAGGTAATATAATCTTGGGAACCTATTCAATGTAATCTTGCTTCTCATGATGTCATGTACTTGTATTATATTATATAATAATACTTATAATTCCGTAAGTATATTCACAGTTGCTCCTAATGGGTGTAGTATGGAATGAGTTTTGTTACTATATCTAGACTGGATCACCGGTCTCATTACTGCATGATTCGTTATGACTGATTCCTCTCATTATACGAGTAACTTATGGGCCACTTTTTCACTTTGATATGGTGCAGGTTGTTTTTCCAAGCTTTGGCGAGAGGTACCTGTCCTCTGTGCTATTCGAGTCGGTCAGACGGGAAGCTGAAAGCATGACTTTCGAGTCCTGAATTCCTGTTTTAAGGCTTTTAAGCTGCTTTACTTCCGATTTTTCAAGTTGTGAATTTTAATAGGCTTAACCGCTTAACTATTGGCTGTCAAAATACTCTCTGTGATTCTGAAATAAAACTTGCTTCAAAAGAAAGATGGAATAAAGTTGGCAGTCGAGGATATATAGTGTCTGCTGTCTAGAAACGTTAGGTAAAATATGCATGAAAGAAATATACAGGTTCTTCATAATTCTACAGCCAAAATGTGATTAGAATTGTATTCTACATACACCAATGTCCCCATCAACCCTTTGATGCGGAAATTTTACAAATTCACGAGGAACCCAGCTACCAATGAAAAAAACATAGTATAATAGCATAACGGCATAACTCTAGCAGCATGGGGGATATAGACTAACATTTTAATGCCGAACGCATTTTGAAAGGAACACTTTGCTACTAACATTTTAGTTTGGGATCACTTCAAAATTTGATTTGTAGATCATGCACTTCACAAATGAATTGAACGAGTGACATCACCACCACATCTATCGCCGAACTTTACAGGTACATTAATAATTAACATAATTTAACATTTGAAAGGTTAGTGGGATAGACACCGAAATTGTAGCAAATAAAATGATCTTTAATTTCTTTATGCTCTTCGTTCACACTCACAGTCATAGTCCCTTTTGGATTTTGTTTCATTGTCAGGTCAGGTAAAGAAATCCTGAACCCCTTTTCCTGAAAAAACACGGTCAGAAAGCTCGGCCAAAACGGCATTGACGGTGAGCAAAACGACGCTAGAACCAAGGATGACACTGAGCACAACACCGGTGGTGCCCAACACCTTCCCGAACGCGGGCCACTCAATCTCACTAATCTCTTGAGCCACTCCGTTCCAAAAGTTATCCCCTTCTTTCTCCTTCTTCTCCTCCATCGCCTTCTTCAGCTCCGATGCCAACTCCGACTCCTTCGATTCCGATTCCGATTCGGCTTCGGATTTGGATTCGGAACTCTCTTGGCTTTCCTCGACTACGCCGGTCACCGTCATCCGTCGCCTCCGCGGAAGCGACGAGATTCCGATGGGAGTGAGAGGGAGAGGTTTGAAGATTAAGGGAGCACTGAGTCTGAGTCTGAGTCTGAGTCTCGGACTGAGAGGAGGTGATGGAAAGAGTGATGTGAGTGGCAGCTGCAAGTGGTGAAAAGCGTGCAGCGCCATCTATAATGCTCTGATTGATTTCTGGATAATACACCTTCATGCTTCTATTTGCACCTCTCCTTTCGGGTCAACCCGACCCATTACTCTCCTGGGTCAGGGTTTAGTGGATCGCACAATTTATCACATCATTTTTTAGCTTCATAATTGGTATTTTTTTTTTTTGGAGACAGTATTTTATTTTCTTGTGCACTACACTAGCCAGGTTTCATGTACCAAAAAAAAAAAAAAAACAAACTTAAATGTGTCGTCTCATATGAATTTCAAATAAGTGAGTGTAGTGTGTATTATTGTAAGAGGACTAAAAATTTACTCCGTTATAATTTAAATGGGTATACATATACTTTATAAGGACTAAAAATTTATCCGTTACTTGGTGGTAAATAACTAGAACAGGTAGAATGTCCAGAAACGCTTCATCATTATGACAGCAAGACCAGTTCTTCTGTTCTTGTTGTTTGGTTTATGAGTTCATGTGCCACTAACAAAAAATTCCACGATAATTATTCCCAGGAGCTAGGATTTTTTTTAAGGGGGCAAAAAAATCAAATGTACAAGTAAATTGGGTTAGGATTTTATTATAGAAGTAAATTTAGTGATCTTACCATTAGATCAGGGTACATAAGAAGATATGCCGAAGTAAATATACAAAAAAATATGCCTAATTAAATCATGATACTTTAGGAGCCTCTATTGCATGTCATTGGATGCCCACCATTAAGAATTTTTTTCTTCAAATTTTATTCTTATGGATTTTTTACTTATTTTTCACATCTCGTGGACATGTCATAGTATGAGGAAAAAATTTAGTGCTCCTAGCCTATGTGCTTCTTTCATTAAAGGGGTTGACACTTAATAAAAAAATAATTTTGCTCTCTCTTCTCTCCCGATTTTGATTGGTCCGGACCTCTGAGTCAATGGTATTTCTCGAGCATCAAAATTCTTCTCAACGGTTTGATGCCGCGACACACAAGAGAAATGCACTATATATGTGTGGCTGGACAAAAATTAATGTAAACATCTAAACACAATAATAATTAAGAATTCACAATTGAGAGACCAGGTGCTCGATGTCATCTGCAGTGTAATTCTGCATAATAACACCTTCACTGAAGTCTATCATCTCAACCCTAAAAAGTCCCCCCACATTAACCTCTGCAACGGGGGGTATTTAATGGTGTGTGTATCTTCACTTTCAGAAATCAGGTGAAGCTTTGAAAAGTGATGGTTTTTGACAACTACGTAAAGAACCTTGGGATACACCACTCCAAAAGCTAGATCAAAGGGTGGGAGTGCCCAAGACCTTATAAACTCCACATTAGTTGCACATTCAACTAATGTGAGACTATTATCTCAACACGGTCCCTCACACGAGAGCCCATTGGGCTTGAAGAGTGGACAATGCAACAGTCTCAGCCTACCTGTGCTAAGAAACGCCACAAGAGGAAGTGCGGAGCGACGAGGCTCTAATACCGTGTAAAGAACCTTGGGAAGCGCCATTGTTTGATCTTTTTTCTCCCTTGTTCTTTAGTGGGTGGAGAACCACTAACCCCTGATAAAAAAAAAATTCCTTGAAATTTAAGGAGGGAGGCGGGCGGCCGCCCACCCTAGTATCCCCGGCCTTCGCCTCTGATTATTCCCATAGTGAAGAATGGGTGCGCGCCACAAGGAAGATGAGTTTTTACAAAAGAAACAGTTTTTATTTTGATTTTTTTATTTTTATTACAGTTGAGAGGTTGTTTGAAATGAAAATCATCAAATTAAACTTTCTGAAATTGAGTTGAATTTGCTTGAGTCTGTCAAGATCAGTAATAATGTGTATAGGAGTTTGGTGAATGTCACCTTGGTGACTTAGACTAAGCTTCCAATGTTTTTGTTATTTGGTCAAAACTCAATACGGGTTGAATGCCACAAAATATGCTTCTCATTATTACAAATGAAATAATTAAGACCTGGTCTTTCTCTTTGGTTCAATTAATGTGCCACTAATCACAAAGTCTATGAACCTTTTTAATATCCCTTCAATTAGTGGAGTGGTAGTGCGCCAGAAGCTACATGAATTTTTCGAAGAAATCCTCGTTAACTTTCTGACAAAATTTCCGCCCACTGGAATTTGCTTGAGTTTGTCAAAGAGTAACCCTATGCATTGTATTTTGGTGAATGACAATTATTGACTAAATTAGAGGTTCAAACTCCAAAGACCATACATATGTCTTGTTATTTGGTTATCAAATTAGTTTTATTTCATAAACCAAATTAGTTTTTTTCCCTTCATTTTTGCATCTGTTTCGTTTTATTTGATTAGTGCAAAAATACTTTTTCATGTATTTTTTCTTCTTCTCATTTTTGCCTCTGTTTCGTGTATAAACCAAATAGTATATTTGGTAAGTTTTTCCCCTCAATATTGCTTATAACTATGTATGACATTATTTTGCTGGTTGGTTGAATTAAATTTGTTTATTATATTACTTTATATGTATATAAATATATATAAATATAATTTGTATTCCATATTATGATTCTATGATTTGTGTATGATTCTGCGATTTACGATTTTAGTTAGTCCTTCTGAATTTGTGTGGACTCTTGAGTTTGAGTTTGACAACCTTGCTTAAGATGCTCCTCAACACTTAGAATTTGAAGAATTAACATATAACAGTAAGACAAAGTCTTGTTATTTATTTTAGTGTTTTCGTTGAATGTGCACGGAAGGATGTATGGGCCAAGCCCAATAACAGAAGCCCAACATCAGAAGTCAGTTAGTTTGTTTAAAGTCAGTTAGTTTGTTTAGCTGATCTGTTATTATTGAAAGGTTGAGATCATTCAGTTATTTATGAATGGCTGAGATTCATCTAAGACTAGGAGTATATAATTTAGAGTTACACAGCTGAATGTAATCATCACTTCATTTTCTCAATATCAAATTTCAGTTTATTTCTTTCTTCTCTCTCTCCTCTGATACCTTTCATGGTATCAGAGCCTAATCTGATCCATGGATTCAAATCGTGTTGTGCAAAGCTCTGTTCATACTTTCTCCAATCCAGTTTCCTTTAAGTTGGATGAAGATAATTTCCTACCATGGAAACAGCAAGCGTTGGCTACAATCAAAGGTTATGGTTTAATCAAATTCATCACTCAAGAAGTTCAAGATCCAATACCTGTTGCAAGAACTGCTACTGAAGAAGGTGTAGAAAGTGTTGGCAACAATGCAACTCAAACTCCTCAAGTCACAAATACACAAACGACTGTTACTGCTCAACAAGATCGGTTGATACTTTCTTGGCTGCTGTCGTCCATGTCTGAATCAATGTACATGCGTGTTGTTGGCTGTTCCAATTCATTCCAAGTTTGGAAGAAACTTGAAGAATTTTTCATGTCTCAAACGAGAGCAAAGGTTAAACAATTGAAAGTGCAATTGAAGAATATAAAGAAAGAAGGTGATGTGTCAAAATACCTTCTCACAATCAAGAAAACAGTGGACTCTTTGGCTGCATGTGGTTCAGCTGTTAGTTGTGAAGATCACATAGATGCGATATTAGATGGCCTAAATGAAGATTATGATGGTTTTGTCACATCAGTCATTTCACGCACAGATCCTTATACTGTTGGTGAAATAGAAGCTCTATTGATGGCTCAAGAACAAAGGTTGGAGAAGCATAGAAGAAATCTTTCATCAAGTCTTCAAGCCAATATGGCTCAACTTCAGGTCAGTAACACTGCAAACAGAGGAAGAGGAGGTTTCAACTCCAATTTTAATAGAGGAGGTTTTAATTCGAACAGAGGAAGATTCCAAACAAATACAAATAGAGGAAATTATCAACCTTACAGAGGAAGAGGAGGAAGGTACCATGGCAGTGGAGGCTATAATAGACCTCAATGCCAAGTTTGTGGTAGATATGGCCACTTGGCTCTTGATTGTCATCATAGGTTTAATCAGAGTTACCAAAGCTCAATGAAACAGAATAACTTCTCCAACATGCAAGCAAATATGGCAGTGACCAGCCACACTGCTGCAAAACAACAGGATGATGAAGCCTCTGATTATTTCTCTCTCACTGATTCAAGCTGGTATCCAGACTCTGGAGCCACAAATCACTTCACACCAGAATCCTCCAACCTGTTGCAGAAAACCACTTACAATGGTCAGGATGCTGTTCAAGTAGGTAATGGATCTAACCTAAAAATCAAACACATAGGTCACTCATTTCTATACTCTCCTTTTAGTTCAAAAACTCTTACACTGTCCAATCTTCTGCATGTTCCTGGTTTGTCCAAAAATTTGTTGAGTGTTTCACAATTTGCAAAGGAAAATCAAGTATTTTTTGAATTCCATTCTAATATTTGCTATGTCAAATCTCAGGCTACCAAGGAGATCCTTCTCCAAGGCAACCTTAAAAATGGTCTCTATGCGTTTGATGGAGTACAAAAACCTCCAAAGTTTGCTGTTGCTGCTGCATCTACTTCAAAATTGCATCAACCTAGTGTACCCACAATTTCTGCTGCTAAATCTTTCTTAGCTTGTAATAATACTTCTAAAGTTTCCACTTTAGATCTATGGCATTCGAGATTAGCTCATGCCTCTTTTCCTATTGTCAAGTTGGTTCTTAAACATTGTAACATACCATATGCAAATAAAACTGATTCACAATTGTGCTGTGCTTGTTGTATGGCAAAATTGCACCAACTGCACTTACCTAATACTACTACAGTTTACTCTAATCCCTTAGAACTTGTTCTTACTGACATTTGGGGTCCAACACCTATTGCAAGTTCCTCAGGTGCTCGTTACTACATTTTATTTGTAGATGCCTTTTCCAAATACACTTGGCTTTATCCTATGACAAACAAATCACAAGCTTACAATATATTCATTCAGTTTAAAACCATGGTTGAATTACAACTTAATGCTAAAATCAAATCCCTCCAAACTGATAATGGCAAAGAATACCTCAAACTCACTCCCTATTTGCAACAACATGGCATTATTCATCGCCTCACATGTCCCTACACTCATCAACAAAATGACCAACCCGAAAGAAAACATAGGCATGTTGTTGAAACTGGCCTAGCTCTTCTAGCTCAAT